GAGGAGGAGGAGGAGGCAGCCGACGAGATCTGATAGGTTCGGACTTTTCTTTTATTCATGAGGAGCGAAGGGGGCCAGGACGGAAGGCTGCCGAGGACCAATAACGAAAAGAAATGGCCAACGAATAATTTTTTCTCTTTTCTAATCCCCGGCTCGACCTCGTTTTGGGGGGAGAATTTGAACTGCCCGTGAAGACAGGGGGAGCGGAGCCCCGGGAGCTGGGGGTGGAAGAAAAGGGGAGGGGGCAACTTTGTCCGAGTGTCTGTCTCCCTTTGATGAATGGGCCGGATCGGCCGGGTCCCCAGCCGCTGGTCGCCTGCCGCTGCTCGCCGTGGCCCTGGCTCTGTGGGAACGCAGCCCCGGGTTGGGCGTTTCTCCGGATGGTCCCCTTCACCCCGGCCCCACTGGGTAGGGTCCGTGTGTCTCGGCGTCGTCGTCTTCCTCATCTTACACGCCCTGAAATTTCCTCCAGTTGGACTCATGGAGAACAGCCCGGTGACATTAAGGGAGGGATTACGACTCGGTGAAATAATGTCAGAGCCCTGGTGTCCGGTGGCTCTCCTCTGGCTTCCTGCAGCTCCTAGAAGCCCAGAGGGACTGTATCTGGTTTAATGCTTGGAAAACTGGGTCTGCCCAGAGTTAGGGAGGCGTCCCTTCCTCTCCAACCCCGTCCCCAGGCCACAACCCCAGGACCTCTTTACAGGGGGTGGTTGGGTGTCCCCAGGCTGTGCAGTGTGGCTGTGCAGAGGATCTGGGACTCCAAAGGCAGGGGATATGGGGGGAGGAGCGTTAGAACTTGGAACCAACTCCGGGCTCCTCTGCTGGGGGGGCTGAGGGAGCCCCAGTTAGAAGGTCCAGAGTTAGGAGGGGTGGCCAGAGGTCCCACAGTTCTGCACTCTCCGAGGCCTGAGTGACCAATGGCCCCAGCCTCGGGACACGGATCCCTGGGGGCGAAACGCCCTCCCAGCGGGGCAGGACGCCACAACGGCAGGCCTTTTGTCTCCGGGGGAAAGAGTGTCTCTGGCGCTGGCTGGAGCCGAGGTACAATAAAGTAACCCAGCCCCGGCGCTCGCCGGCCTGCCCTCTCCCTGCAGTGGGGTCAGCTGCGTCTTGGCCTGGGGGGCTCTCTGCAGCTGGCCCGGTGCCCTCCCTTCCCCTTCCCTCTCCTCACCTGTGACCTTTGCCCCTCTCAGCAAGTGACAGACTGCTTTTCCTAGCATCAGGGAGACTTTGGGGGAGCTTCCTGGGAATAGGGACCCTGCTCAAAAAAACTTGTGGAACCCAAGTTCTCAGAACTGAACGGGGGAGGGGCCAAGTAGCTTTAATACTGGAAAAGGGGTCACCAGGGTGCCTTGCCTAGTGGGCTGCCTGAGTTATAGGGACCTCCCCCAGGAGAGACGGGGAGAGGGCTTGCAGCCCTACTGTGTATTGGAGAGGATGGGAGCCTGGGGGGCGGGGACCTGGCGTGTCTCGCCTTTAAGGGTGGATCCATGCGCTCACTTACATGGAGCACGTATGCACCTGCGAACGTACATACGTGTGCGTGTATCCCCATGTTCACCCTCCGCCTCCCATCACCCACACCCCGACTTTCCTGGCAGGCTTCGAGGCCCCTGCTCATTGCGGAAGGACCTGTGTGCTGTGGGCGGGCAGGGCTTCTGCAGGGGTGTGTCGGGGGCAGGTGGCGTTGCCCAGGTCTGTTTGGGGTCAGTCCCAGTCGGTGGGGGTTTCGAGGACAGTCAGTGTTTGTGTTTCTGTTCTGGGTCACACCCAGGTGGCCTCTGCCTGGGTCTCACAGCAGGGTGTGAGCGTGTGTTTTGACCAATTCATCCTGAGGAAGGGCCTCCAGCCTCTGCGCTGAGTCTGCCACCGCGGGGGGGGGGCCCCCTGCCGCTCCCAAGCCGAGAGGAGTGAGCACCCCTCAGGTCCCCTGTGCAGGACCAACGCTGAGGACCTCGGAACTCCTGTGCCAGGGGCCACCTTGCTCTCGGGGTGACCCCTCTTCTCCTGCAGAAGACACTCTGGCAGGCCCCGTGGCCACCCAGGCCAGGGGCCAGGCTCCCGGGGACCCAGGGACCCAGGGCTGGCGGCT